TTTGGTAACTTTTGGTTATTTATTGAACGGTATGTCACTATTTGACCCTGTTATAACAATTTGGACTGAATTAAGAGCACCTCTAAAATGGTCCGCTTAAAAGCACAGCCTAAAAAAAAATTAATCAACTTTCAATTCAAGGGTTCAGCAAGAAGTACAGAATTCAAAGTATCAGGCTTCAGCACTTTTCTGGTTCAACTAGTGAGCAGAGGAGGACAATAGAATCAATCAAACAAGATAATTACAGAACACATAGCTCAACAAAGCAAGGTCTTTACTTTAATCCAAACAAAAATGCATGACAGAAACTGCTGAGAGTAAATGAGAAAAAAATGTTAGTAAGAATTGTTTTTTTTCTGGCAGGGGGCTTCATGTTCAAGCAGTGGAAGGAGAAGTACCTTGTCCTGACCATGGAGGGTTCCCTGTTGGTTTGTCGGGATGCAGAGTCCCCCCCAGACCAGGTGATAGCTCTACATAACAACTGTGAGACCATCGCAGAGGGACGGGAAATCCTCGACCTGCCCAAACTGCCTCCAGGGGGCAGGAGGGACTGCTGCTTCGCTCTCATCCTACAGCAGAACAAGTTCCTGCTGCTTCTCACTGACAACCCAGAGGACTGCAAGTGGGTGTCACTCTCTCTCTCTCTCTCTCTCTCTCTCAGATAAACACAAACACACATACAGTGGAACACACCTACATAGTTCAACTATCCTTTGCCCCACTCAGATAAGACCTGCACACACGATGGCTTATTGATACACAAAAACATGCTGCAGCCCAAGTTTCCTTTGTCCCACTAACAGTTAGACATGTTTACTGCAGGCGGTTATCAGAATGGTGCAGTCTGAACTTTCTCACATTAAAAGAGAAGCCTGGCTCAGATTCAAACATAGTGAATTGTCATTTTATCTTTTCACAGTCTGTGGCTGAATTTGATCAGGAAAGTGAGAGAGGTGAGTCAGCAGTTTTGACTTCAGTTTGGTCCTGTGGTTGCCTCATTGAACCTTGATTTATTGTCCTCTTTTTTCAGTAACTTTCCCCCTCTGTTTCCAGAGGTACATTTGAAAGATAAAGGTTTTTTGTGTGAGGCTCCTTTGTTACTGTACACACTTTATCCCTCTCATAATGACCCCCTGTGTGTCTCATTGTTTAGGGTGTCATGTCACCCCTGACCCTTCAGAGACAGCGCAGCATCACTCCCTGCATCACCGACAGAGACCCCTTGCCTGATTCCTCCAGTGATAAAGATCCCGGGTCCCCCAGGGTCAGTGAGGGCACCCCTCCTTTGTCTCGAGTCACTGAGCGAGGAGGATCCTTCAGAGAGAGAGGTCAACACCAAGGTTCATTATCAGGTACACTAGTTGGTATCTCACATGTCAAAGCTGATGTATTTCTAGTTTCACCACCTCCCGTGATAGATATATGAAAGACAAATGATGATTCCTCGCATGCCTCTCTTCTTACTTGTAACCAACTGTTGTTTAGAGCTGGATTCAAAGGATTGACGTGTGACTTGAACGGACAAAACAATGAGCAACAAGAGGCTTAAAATGACAAAGAACTAAGATACCTCAGATTGTTAGCTCAGTTGTTTAGCAGGTTGTTAAAACATGCAAAGGCTGAGGTGTATACTGAACATATTCCCCCTTTATGAAGATATAGTTTGGTGTAACATTATCCCATACACATCCAGATACACTGAAAAACTTCCATCTGAACTGAATCAGGTTGGGCCTGTCAAATCTGTTTTGCAGAGGCAAATTTAGATTTGCACATGTTAACTTAAACGAATAATAACACACTGACTGGAAAGTTTATAAATGTGACTTTTGGTAAGTGTGTAGGCCAATTCTGTAGGGATATAAAACCATTTTTTGTTTTTTACCAGAAAAGAGACAATTCAATTCAATTCAAAAAACTTTATTTGTCCCCGGGGGTCAATTCAAAGGCACACAGAGCAGTAAATTAACAACAGTGCAGGTAGACGAAACATTTTAGCCTAAATATAAATATAATATTAATGCTTAAACTTAACTTAAAATACAAAATATAAAAAGAGTAGGTATAAGTGGACAGTGATCAGACTAACAGATGTAAACAGATGTAAACAGAACTATGTGCAGTAAACAAGAAATAAATATATATATACAGAGCTATGTGCAAGTAGGCAAACTAAATGATAAGTTTAGTGTATAGTTTTTCTATACAAGTAACCAAGGGCTACAAGTAAAAAAGGTTGGGAAAGGTGTTAGTGAGATGCCACACAAGCTGAATCTGGATTTGTGTATGTATTTAGTAAACAAGACAGTAGTTCACATAACGTTTGAATGGAACGTGTTGGCTATGAAATGATGTCATGTCACATGTTTGTGATTAAGAAGCCTTTGCGTTTCATTGCTCTGATAAGATGCAGCATGTAGAGACTTTTTGGTCTGCTCCTGTTGATAGCAACCCTTTGAAATCACAAACGGTTTGAGAGGTTACGCTCTGCCAATGAAAGGCGTCTGATCCAACCTTCACAACAGGGTCCTAAGTCTCTGACTAGACTCTTCTCCTCTGTCGCCCCCCGGTGGTGGAATGAACTTCCAAACTTCATTTGATCTGCAGAGTCCCTCTGCACCTTTAAGAAAAAGCTAAAGACCCAGCTCTTTCATGAATACCTACTAACTTAATGATGATGGTCTCCATATTATTGATGATGATGATGGTAATGACGATGGTTTTTGTTTGATAACGACGACTTATAAGATGGTTTCTATACTGATTAGAGCTCTCAAGAACTGCCCTCAATGTTGTGCTTTGCCTTCTGGTCACTTCCTGTCAGCACCTGTGTGTCCAATCAGACTCAAAGCTGATCGTTTGCTCTTACTGACATTATTCCCTTTTTTCTTCGATCCTTGCTTGTGTTGTTCTTACTCTCTGTGGTACGTCGCTTTGGATAAAAGTGAATTATAGAATTGTAGAATTGTACGTTTAGGAAGTGTTCTTGTGAAGCTTCTTTATGTAATGAAAACAATCAACCAAATAACTTTTTCTAATGACTTTACAGCTGGTGTAACACGACGGTCTCTACGTGGTTCTGTGCCCCCACCTCATCGCGTGTCAGATTGTCTTCGCCATGGCAACAGCAGCGATGCCCGGGCGGTGAGGGCGGTGTGCCTGCTGATGGGAGGAGCAGCGGCCTCCTCTGCTATGGGCTACCTCAGCTCCTGCTCCCCCTCCTCCCCCGTAGCCACCAGAGCCCCCGAGATCGCCAACGGCTCAGGGAGCTTCTCTGAGCTTTCCACTGGAGGCTCCTACCACGCCTGCAGCCAGGACGTCGACTCTCCACACTTCAACAGCTTCGACTTTGAAGGGGACTCTGACTTTGATGCGTTTGATTGTGGAGGATTTGCTTTTTAGTTTAGTTTGAGTTAGACAGAGAGAAGATATTTTGAAAGACATTTTATTCTCATCTAAAAATCCCTGTGTTGGTCATCCTTTTAAAGGACATTGTTGTAAATTAATCATTGGGTTATATACGTCTAATTTATAAATTAATGAATGTGTTCTTCCTGGCTTTATGCCCATGCTCCTCAGGTAAATCATTCATGAACACTGTCTGTCTATGTTGAATCACTCTTTCCATGCCACAGGATGAAACAAACACAGAATAATGATTCAAGACAATAGCATGGATATTTACAAGGACATTTTAGAGTCAGAAGTTCAACAGTTGTGTTTCATTTTATACTTTTTTTAAATGTAGCCTCTGTAAATATTTTTCTCCACTTGTCATTTTGTTTTCCTCTCCTTCTGAGTTTCAGAAATCACCCACTTTTCCCATCAGCGAAAGATGTACTCTAAATAAATCCTGCTGTCACAATGACTGTGCTTCTTTCTCTGCATCTGCTGTTAGTTGGCTATATTTATTGAGAGTCAATTTTGACAGCAGGCCAATGTTTTTGAGAGCTGATGATGAATGAGAGTTGCGGAAGAGGCAGGTTTTCAGAGCTGCACGGCTGTGTGTGCTTATTGCAGATTTTTGTCGCACAGCAAAAATGATCTCCTGGGTTTACAGCTTATGTAGATGTGCAGGAGCTGAGTGTGCTCTCTGTTGTTTGTTTTTTTACCAGAGTGGGCTACATGTGTTCGGATTCAACATCCAGCACCTGCTACAAATCAGTGACACAAAGCAAACCCTGATGCAACAACTGCAGATGTCTCAATGGACACAGGGCTCATGCTGTCACATTTTTCACACAGAAAAAAAAGCCTTTGTGTAAGAATCTGTATGCTTTAATTATCTTTTCTGATTCTTATTATAACAACAAAAATTGCAGTCATATTGAATTCTATGCAACACCTCAAAGCCTTTGTTGCTCAATATTGGCAGAATTGCCAACCAGGCCAAACGGTGCCCTCAAAGATGCATTTTGACCTGTTCTCAGTTTCAAATAGACACTAATGTCTTTGATTGTCTTGCTCTACTGAAGCACAACATTGACTTGAATAATGCCGTTTTAACTCTATTTGGAGGTTTTTTTTTTAAAGATAAATGTTGTGACTTTATATTTGCATTTATTTTATTAAATGCATTTTCAAAGACAATGCTGGGATTTGAAAAAAGTTGTCTCCTCTCTTGCAAAATAGTAATGAGTATGAGTAAACAAGACTGAGAATATATGAAAAATTCATTTAAAGTCTTTGTGTTATTGCTAAGTACATTTGACTCTCTCTCTCTTCAGGCACACTCTTAATTCCTTGTCTATTCCTGACAGCACCAACCGTTAAACAAATATGTTACATAACCGTTTAACATGCTGACACTTGACTTACAAGACTAGATTTACTGAGTTGTTGTTCAAACAGATCACAGAGTGAAGTGCAGTCAATGAAAAGCAAAAATCAGGTTAAGGTGCACTCGGGTGCACAGCAGGTGAGTCACATGGTTCACCTGTGGCCTAATGCAGCACTCATGCAAACACCTGGTTAATTATAAACACAAATATTCTGATATAAGCTCCAACCAAAGGGTGGAAGTGAGCACATAAAAAGAGATCTGTTGACCGCAGGGAAGAGTTTAGGAGAACAAGTTAGACGAGGAGCATTATGGACTTTTCTGCAACAGTGATCTTGGCGGGGCTAATCGTAACTCTGCTGTGGCTGTTCAGGGTCAAAAACAAAAGTAATTATAAACTGCCTCCTGGACCCACTGCTCTGCCTGTCATAGGAAATTTGCCACAGCTGCAAAAAGATGCACCTTTTAAAAGCTTTTTCAAGGTAAGTTTGGGAACACATTTATGTTGAATAATTCAAAGTGATACAAGTTTTTAAAATGAGTCTTGTATTCTTAGAACAATAAGAAAGTGCAGCTTTTTCCATTTGCATGTTGACTTTTGCACAAAATATTCTTTTTTTTTTCTAGTTCAGTGAGACCTATGGACCTGTGATGACATTTTACCTGGGCTGGCAGCGGACGATTGTTCTGGTCGGATACGATGCAGTGAAAGAGGCTCTGGTGGACCAGGCGGATGACTTCACAGGCAGAGGTCCACTGCCATTTCTGATGAAAGCGACCAAAGGCTACGGTACAACGTCCAATCGGTCATCTCTGTTATAGGGATATATGACGGTTCATTGTTTTCAAAGCATGTCTGAATCTTCACTGCTTCTCCTGCATGGCCCCCTTTTGTTCTAAAAGCTCATGTTTGTCCTTTGCTCAGGTTTGGGAATCAGTAATGGGGAGCGTTGGCGCCAGCTGCGACGCTTCACCCTGACAACCTTAAGAGACTTTGGGATGGGACGCAAGGGGATGGAAGAGTGGATCCAGGAGGAGAGCACCCACCTGAGAGCCCGGATAGATACATTTAAAGGTGAGTTTTCACTTGCTGCTGTAAGAGCACTGATTACCACACGGCTGATGTGAAAGAGAATCAAACAAAATCTAACAAGTCAAGGTTACTTTGTGCAGCCCTTTATCAGATAAAACTTGAAATGAGCAATTATGTTTTAAGATGCTTGTTTCTACAGGTCACTGTAAATTGCTTTACAACTGATAACAGATTGTTTACATATTTGCATATCAGATAAAATCATGTTCTCGGTGCAGCTTTCTTTTTTCTGAAAGACATTATTTTTTTCTAATTTGCATCTTTTCCTTTTGTTTTTTTTTACTTCTATTTCAGCCAAACCATTTGACCCCACGTTCTTGCTGAGCTGCACCGTATCCAATGTGATCTGTGCTCTGGTGTTCGGTGAACGCTTCGATTATGATGACAAGCAGTTCTTGAACCTGCTCAGCATCATAGCTGATGTTTTAAGGTTTAACAGCAGCCCTAAGGGTCAGGTAATGAATTCTAAAAGTCTAGGGTTTTGGCCTGCTGGCCCTCTCAATGAAACAAGAAATACAGATTCATGTTTCTTTTGGTCTGTTTGGTTTTTTAAATGTTGTGTCATTCATCCTGAACAGATTTTCACATGGTAATTCTCTGAGAAACAAAGTCGCATTATGTCTGTGTGTTGCCCTCCCACAGATGTATAACATCTTCCCCTGGCTCATGGAGCATCTGCCCGGCCAGCAGCACA